ATCTCCTTCACCCCAAGTGTATAGTTGTCCATCGCTAGTAACTGCAGCACTATGTCTATAACCAGCACTAACTAATTCTATTACTTTACCAACAAATGGCCCTTGGATTAGTTTTGGTTCTTTGTGTGTAGCAACATCTCCATGTCCTAATTTTCCATAATCACCTATATCAAAGTTCAACTTAAATAACATTCGATAAATGTAACAATAACTGTATCAAACCTACCATCTCCCCAACTATATACTTCTCCTGTATCACTTAAGGCTAATGAATGGCCATCACAACCTTTTGATGAAGATACTTGTTTAATTTTGCAATTGATGTTAATTCGTTTAGGGACTGGTTGATTAGACGAGTTACCTAATCCCAAGCGACCATAACTATTTTTTCCACAAGCACTTACACAACCTTTTGTGTCTATAATAAACGTGCAATATTGTCCTGCCTCTACTTGTTGTACATCTGATAGAGATCTAACGAGTCGTGGTATATCTGTTACTTCTGTTGCTCCTTCAGCATGTTGATTTGAAGAATTACTCCCCCACATAAATACTTCACTTAGAGGTTGTGGTAATTCAGCAGAATTCTGATTTAATGGAGTACGGACAACAGAAGTTTCTCCAAAACTAACAAGCTAAAATTATTTTTTAATAACTTTTAATAAGCAATAAAATAATAATTGGCCTAAAAGTTACTTTTTTCATTAACAATAGAGCAACATCCTGCAGTGGTATACGATTCATAGATTTATAATTTTCAAATTCTTCTGACCCAAAGGCAAAAGTCAATATGGATGACATTTCTTCCAAAACTCGATAAAGTTTTTCAAATGGCAAACAAATATCATCAATATTTAAAGCCATATCAATCCATTCCAATAGATAAATAAGAGATTCTCGCTGATAAGCTAATAATAATGATAATTCTGCAAGTTGTTCTTTAACTGCACAAATTAAAAGGTATGATTATAATTAACTAAAAACTATGATAGTTTAATAAAATAAAAATTCACCATTCATATTTTGTATGAAATCAGCATTTAAGCATTCTTTTACAAAATGCATTACATTATCTAAACAATCCAAACCAAGTTGAGGTAGTTCAGCTTTACTACCTAAAGAAAGTGGACTTAATTCTCTCATCAGAGTTAGTGCAGTATTAAGTACTTCTAAACCCATATTTATGTCTATAAAAATATATTAAGTGTGATTAACATTATATTAATAAAACAATAATAATCAAAAATATATTTATAATTAACCATTGCAATTTTTATTTTCCCAGCTTTGTTTTAACAGTGTGAAAAACATTGTAAGTCCTGTTTTTACAGTTAATTGTATAAGTACTTGTTGTCCAGTTAATTTTACTACTGGCTTTATGGTCTCTTCAACAGAATTTTGAGGTGTCAATGATATTTGAACACTTTTATCTTCCTATAGAAAAAAAAACAATAACACAATAGTTAAAAAAAAAATATTTAAAAAAAAAATTAATTTTAATATTACCTTAGATAAATAGTATTTTGTATGAAGTATATCATATAAATTATTTAATAATGATAATTTTTTTTGAAGTCTTTTAGAAAATGTTAGGCTATCATAATATCTACGAGCAAGTTCATGATGACTTGTAATTATTTGTTTTTTTCGCTCATTCAATCTATTCACAGACATGCTCGGTAAAGAATAAACATTTTCATCAATTTCATATCCAATTCCATTTATACTATGTAATATTTCCATTACGTTATCATCTGTACTATTGCAATCAAAGTTAGCTAACTTTGAGACAATTTCTGCGTCTGCATCCATATTGAGTGATGAGAGGATCTTTGGTATATTTATGTCAATTTCTTCCATTACACACTAAACATAAAAATATACTTTTAATTTTAATTTCCAACATAACCGGTAATCACTAATTAGATTTTAAATTGATGGAATTACTTGACTTATGAAACAAAATAAAGGTGCAAATAGTAAATAAAATATATGTTAATGTTTATAAAAAACTATAGTTCATATTACACATAGTAATATAAGTACTTTATCTAATATTTTTGTGAAATGCAGAAATGAAACATAGAGTGATGGTTTTGAATATTGATTGTTAGTTAATTAGTATGAAATAAAATGTATTGAATGCATTCATGCTGAGTAGCACGTGAAATTTATTAATTCAATGGTTCACTAAAATATAATAGACCCATTATGTGCCACTAAACTATGTTTAAGCTATCAATAGCTCAATAATGATTGATTCATTAAAATATTTTGTTTTTTTTTTTAATTTTAAAAGAATATGTACCTACTATGCTTTGAAACATATTATGTGAATTAGATTAATCATGTATATAAAACAATACAATGACACATCATGTGGGTGGCCATCCAGTTATAGAATCCAACATCATTTATTTTATTTTTCTAGTTAATTATAATTGGTAAATTTGCCGATTTACTCGTCCGACAGATCCCAACACAATTTTCTTTGAAGTCAATAAAAGGGATTTCTAAGAAGTGAATTGGATGTAAGTTAAGTGATCAGAGTTTGAAGAAGTCAGTAATTTGTAACAAATATTTTTTAAATGTGGCTTAATGATTGGTGGTGCTGCTCTTGAATACAGACAACTGTCATGTTTTTGCTGTAGTATTGGTCTACAGTACATCTACCTAACCATATATGTAACCTAACCTAATTAAAAATATATAATCACTTCAAAAAATCAACTAATTTAAAAAAAATTGGTAGTATAGATTTAATGATAAACTACTTTAATGCCCTTCAAAAATGCAATGAATAAGTCCGGCTCTTCTTTTCTAACAACCTTCCAACAATAATGATTAAGGTTTGACTGAAGCAGTTGTGGGGTAGTAACTCTCATTGTTTTTAAAATGTTTGTCTTCGAATCCAGCCATGATCTGTCTATGCTTTGTGTAATTGTGTGTGAGCACCCATGGAGGGGTAAACGTAGTTTTGCTGTTAGTTTACGGTTTTATGAACATATTCACTACTATTTAAACATCTAAAAAGCTGCACACACATCTTGCTGGATAATCGGAAACAATGCGTTTTTTCCCCTCAAAGTACATAAAAATATCAGCAGTCCAAACCATTTTTGAGCCAAAAACCCAGGCCCATCTACTTTTTGAATTAAACATTTTATCTTTATATTTTATTTCTATACCAACTTTAGGAAATTTTATAGTGGGAAAATATTGTATACAATCAGCAATTTTACTCATTTCCTGAGTGTCCCGTGAGGATTTACCTAATGCACTATCTCCAGAAATAATGGAGATATCATAATTCTAGTTTTATATTATTACTCACAGGGATAAGCACTACAAATAATTAATGTTTCAATTTTTTTTATATGTTTTGGTAAAAAAGTTAAAAAATATATTTTTTAAATTATTTAAAAAAAAATTGAAGATTTTGTTGAGTTTATTGAGTATATAAGTTTTTTTTTTTTTTGAAAATATTGACGCTTCAACATTTTAATTTCATTAATCTCCTGGTTTTTAATAATTTTTCTAGTTTTGAGAAAAACTGCAAATTCCTATTTCCTACCATCATAGTAGTGTTATTGGCTATGACCATAATCAAAGTTATGACTATGATTAATGAAATTAAAAATTTGAAGCATCAATATTTTCAGATAAATTAACTCTACAAAATGGCTATCTTCAATTTTTTTTTAAATAATTAAATAAAAAAATATATTTTTCAACTTTTTTACCAAAACATTAAAAAAAAAATTATGTAATATTTGTATTTGTACTTGTCCCTGTGAGTCTTCATAAAAAAGTCAGAATTATGATATATTATCTATTATTTCAGGAGATATCGCAATGGGTAAATCCTCACGGGACACTGTATACTACATTATATGTAGGTATATTTAATTTTTTTTTCTGCACTAATACGCGGTCTACGTATATGATTTTGTAGTCTGCATACATACAAGAGCAGCACCTAATGATTTACTAATTCTATTTTAAGCTTATTTTGAAGTGTGCAATTAGATACATACCATGGGGCAAAAGACAAAAATATGGAGGGATGAATTGGGAGGCTTGTATGGTAAAAATTTGGAATGGCTTAGTACATTTGAATTGCATAGGCCGAAATAAGTATTAAAATGTTAACTGATTCTTTATGGAACTCGGCATAAAAAATTTAAAAGTATAATATTATTTTAATTAATTTTTAATAGCGTACCACCACTCAGTGAACCTGTTGATTAATAATTTTAATTTAAATCACCATACATAAGAAAAGTGAAATTGTCTTATTACACAGATTTGGTATGCAAATAATTATTAGAAGTACAATGAAAAACATAATTTTTAATTTTACCAAAGTGATGCAGTAGAGGGTATGAATTCTAAGTAAAACAGTTTAATGTGTTATGTCAAATCAAAACTAGAAAATGAAATGGTTAAAATTGAATTTTCTTTAATGAATATTACCAATATAAAAGAATTTTTATGAAAATTACCTACAGAATAAAAACAAGTAGGTAAGAACATAATTTTAAAATAATTGTCAATTTACCTTTACAGTGATTCTGATCAATATTTTTTTTTAATCACGTATTCCCTTGTTTTATACATTTCACGTAGTCACAAATGTCACATAATCTTTGTTTAATATATTCAATCTTTTTACATATTTTCACAAATTTGATAAAAAAAAAAAAGAATTTTGAAGTTTCAATTTTCAATTTTCTTTCAAAACATAAAACAATATGATACAGCCAACAGGCAAAAACAACCATGAATTCTATTATCAATAAATATTGACAGTAAAATCACAGAATAAATATTATAATCATCTCATCTCAAGAATTATAAAATAGAATCACTACTTTTGAGAAGTCATTATCAGTAAAATTAGATTCTTTTTAATAATAATAGTTGGCAACACTATTTTTAGTTCCCTGACTTGGATAAATGATAATAAGATAATATGTCAAATAATGAAATATACACAGAAATACTCAAATCTTTTTATCTCTTAAAAGTGAGAACTGTGGTCTGCGGATAATTCAATAACTAATAACATTAATAATTATAATATTCATTATTTCTCGTTAATAGTCTTTTTTATCCCAATTATAATTTGTTATTAAACGATTTTTAAACTTGTAATTTTGTGGAAAATAATGGAAAAACTGATTAAATTAAAAACTTTGAATTGTCATATTACGTGTAAAATATGTAGAGGCTATTTAGTTGATGCCACAACAGTAACAGAATGTTTACATACATGTTTGTACCTACATTTCATATTTAAATTATAAACATTTATATATCAACATTAATATTATTTGTTTATTTTTTTAGTTTGCAAAAGTTGTCTTGTGAAACATTTAGAAGAGAACAACAGTTGTCCTACTTGTCAAATTGTTATTCATCAATCGCATCCATTGCAGTATATTAGTTTTGATCGTACGATGCAGGATATTGTATTTAAATTAGTACCTGGGCTTCAATTAGGTATATATAAATAGAAATTACCTTGACCATTGTAAATATTAAATAAAAGTATAAAACATTTTATTTCTGTATTAGATGAAATAAAGCGTGAAAGAGAATTCTATAGAATCAGAGGCTTACCTTATCCTAAAGAAGTCCCGGCCGGTACTGAAATTGATGATGATAAGACAGCACAAGATCAAGCAGCAGCAGATTCCGACTACCATAGAACAGATGAACAAGTAAAACCCTTTTATTTTGTATATTTTTTTTACCTATTATAAAAACTTCATTCTTAATTTTGCTAACTATAATTACATTCTGAAGGTAAATATTGGATTGGAATGTGTCGCATCTCACTTGAAGTCATTAAAGAAAAAGTTCCTAAGAGTTTCATCTCAGGCCACTATTACACATCTTAAAAAGTTCATTGCTGTGAAAGTACTTGATGGATCAGATAAATACAGAGATGTTAGTAATACTGTACTATATGTCAAATAATGTTGTTTGTATTAATATATTAAATTTGGTTTTTTAGATTGACATCTTGTGTAATGATGAATTATTGGGAAAAGACCACACTCTTAAATTTGTGTATGTAACAAGATGGCGATTCAGAGAACCCCCTTTAAAACTTCAATATAGGCCAAAATTAGATTTGTAAATAATTTTTTGATCTGTTTTTTTCAGTATTGTATCTTTAACTTATCGCATGTACAACTTTTTTTATATTATATCTGTTAATTTAAGTTAAAAATCATAACTTATTTAAAGTTAATTTAAAAATTAAAAATATTACTGTTAAATAAAGTACATAATTTTTTTAATAATATGTTTATTCAACTTCTACAATCTTAAAAATATAGATTGTATGTGATATACATACTAATTATTCCAATTTTAAATTAATATATATGTCTATATTATAAAACTAGTTGAATGGGTTTTTTTTTTATGAAATATATGATTTAAGATTATAAATTAGTAAATTGAATATAAATAATAATCAACATTGTTCAGTTACTCATTTTTTATAAATATTTTTTTATTAATTTGTGTTTTGCATTTAATTAGTCGTATTGTATTATTTGTATTGATTTAGTGTAAATTATTATTACAATTATTTTAAATAGTTGTACCTATGTGTTTATGTCTTATATTTATTTATTTTTGTATTATTATTATTCATAAGCTATACAACATAAAATGTCTAAGTATATTTAATAAAATTTATGTTGACTGCTAATTACATCATAAAAAAGTCACTAATTGGAAACATTTCTAACAATAAGGGAAATATATGAGTACATCATACATTATTTTTAAAAAAATCATAACATTTTGTACTTTTGGACTACTGGGTAATTTTTTAGTTAAATAATAATTTTACTTGATACCATAGACCTTATACTACTAGACAACTAGACAAGCAGTAAGTGTATTGAAAGTTGCAAAATATAGAGGGCACTTGTTTACTCATTTACTCAATATTTATGGTAGTGTCAGGTAGTAGGATACAATTTAAGGATTGTTATATTTCATCATCAAAACAGCCTACATGAACTTAAGATTCTTTACAGCCACTCTTAATTCCCTTGTTACACACAGTTCTTGATGAGTTATATCTCTATGCTTGATCCAAACATTTTTTAAGTTTCTTTAATTTGCACATGAATAAAAATGTAATCGGGGGACGGAGTGGCCGAGTGGATAACGCGTCGGTCGCAACGCACACCATCGCCGGTTCACACCTCGGTCACGGGTGGCACTTCTCTCCGGGCAGTCACAGTGTCTGGAGAGAGAGGTTGCCATCCCCCCAACCGGGTATGGCAGAAACCTACAGGTGCCCACTAAAAATTCTGCCAAACAAACACACACGTGTTCCATAACCCTATAGTAACCCAACAGTCTCAAAAACCCTACAGTACCACAACCTACAGCTAATGGCCTCAGTTCCCAAAGCTTAAATTAAAAAAAAAAAATGTAATTATCAATGACTATGAGTGACTAAAAAGTTAATTCTATGAACTAAAACTGTAGACCAGAATCTCAATTCACTCCACTCTTCTTGATACATCATAAAACTTCATAAATAATGTATAGTGGATAAGTATAACATCCACGCCTCCTTTATAAGTACACTAAGAGGATGTCATACCCACATGTGACATGTGTATTTTGTACTACTAACAAGCAAATTTTATGTTCAGAACAATTGAAGACCTGAACATAAAAGAGCGTTAGTATCCTAAAAAACACATAACAATGATAAGACATAAATTAAATTTATTTATACAGAATAGATTTAAAATTTGTGTATATTTAAAAAAAAATATTTAGTATTATAGTTGGTTAGTAGTAAGGGTTACAATGAATATTTAAAAAAATATAAAGGCAATTCATCAAGTATGTCATTGTATTTAGTTTTATAATTTAAATTACAAAATGTAATGATTTTTTATCCATATTAAGATACCTTTGTGCACTCAAGCAATTTAACTTTTTCAATGTAGAATAACATTAAAATTTTATGATGGCGAAATTAATAATATATAATATATAAAACAGACCTCTACAAATATAATATATTTAGCCTGATAAGTTAAATACTTAAATTGACCTGATACAGAGAAATGTGAGGTTTTGTAGACAACCCCAGTAAAAATTGAATAAATACTTAATTTAATAGAAAATATAACCAGCCCCAAAGTAATTAATAATGTGTTTTAAACAGTTAATAAGGACTTAAAACAGGTTATATAAAGAACAGTCTGCCACTTTCTTACCGGCCCTGTAATTTATTCATTCTGCAAAGTTCATGATTGTGTTAAACTATGCATAATGAAAAATAAAATAATTGATTACTTTAATTAGTAATTACCAAATAAATCAAACCACCAATAACATTGATAATGCCAATGATATTTCATAGATCTGTAAAATAAAAATTACTGGAACAAAATCTGTACGTAGTGTACAGGTCTGGTAATCGATAGTTTACAGAACCGTTAACAGTATCGGGCATTCAAGCATCACCCAGTTTTATTTGCAGAACCGTTAGCGGTCAAAAAAGAATCATAAGTGAGCTACCCTTTAGCTACTTTGAGGGTCCAAAAAATAAGCTTTTAAGTTATAAACACCCTGTAGTCTCAAGGAATTTATTAATATAACTTTTACTGAAAACGGTCCAGTATTTTTGAGTATACAGACATCCAAACGTAAATTTATATATATGAGAGATACATAAAACACTATACCTAGTACATGAAATATTGTCAAACTTATATTTCCTAAAATTGATTTAAATTTACTATTCTTCTAAAAATTATTTATTATTTTATTCATTTAAACATGTTTAAACACACTGAAGATTGAATACAAATTTGAAATTTCTGTTCTTTAAAAAAAAAAAAAATGGAAATTTTAATAATATCTTCTATTCATCAATTCATGACCAACTTTAAAATTAATTTTGAATATACAAAGATATAATATTTATACCAACTATTTAATGAAAAAAGTAGTACATTAATTTTAAAAACTAACAAATTCACAAGTGTATAATAATAAGGTATTTATGAAATATGCTTATTTTGGTTTAGTTTCTTGATCCGTAACATACCTAATATAAACATTATTTTCAGGTATTGGATCTGGATGTACGTCTTGTTCATACATGTAAGAACTGCCTATAGCCAAAGATGAACCTAAAAAAAATTTTAACTATATTAAATTTACTTCTTGCTATAAGTTATTAATGAACACTAAAAAATAAAATACAATTCTTTTAAAATAAGTTATATAATTTTATACAAAATAATTGAAAAAATAAAAGGATTATTATAAAGATTAAACATATTAAATGAAAGTTAGAATAGTATAGCCATAAAAAATTGTATCAACTCATTGAAATAAAATGCATTAATAAACATTTACTCACCATCATGGCTAAAGCATAGAGACGTAATTCCTGTATTGTAACGATGGAATTGGCACAATCTTTTTTTATTAAAACCATCCCAAATATTTACATATCCATCCGAACCACCCGTGGCAAATGTATTAAATACTTGATGAAAACTAAAAACACATTAAATTCATAAATATTAGAGAGGAACACACAAATAAAACAATATAATTATTCTTCTTTGATCACTTTTGCCTTTTTGTATTATTTGTTGAAAAATCAAATTAAATTATTTTATTTTTTATACATAAATTACATGTCCATATACACTAGTTTTAAAATATAAAATTAAATGCAATTAGAGTTTTTAAGCAGCAACAGGTTTAATATATATCAACTAATAAATGTTTTGTGTATTGAAAAAGTTACAAACATTCGTTGAAATTTCTGGAACATACATCAAACTATCTATTAACAATGTTTTTAAAATTGTATAGATATATCCTAGTAACTCTATTTTTATAGATTGATTTGTAACTGTACGCAATTAGATGTAAAATTGAAAATATTATAGTTTTTCTGATGATAATAAAATAGTTTTCACCCGTTCTAAATACAAATCAATAATTGTAAATGGATAACATTTTGTACTTAGGTAAATTGTTATGTTATTATAACACATTACAGTTTTATTAAAAAGTTAATATTTAAAGAATTATAATTTGGTAAGTATACAAATTGAATACCTTATAGCATTGACCGGGTAAATGCATTCAATATCATTATCTTTTATTCTGTGACACTTAAAAGCATATTTTTTCTTTTGAATTTCTGGAGCCGTATCAAAATATTCAACAGCTACACGTCCCTCAATACTACTCAACACATAACCTTGTTTATTTGGTGAGCAACGTATACACCTTGTTTGAAACTTCAAATTTGATTCTCTCCTTTGCATAATATATGCTGTGTTTCTTAAATCCCATACAAACACTTTACGCCCAGCAGTGCCAACTACAAGTTTTTCGCCTACATTACTCATAGTGAAAACCTAAATAAAAAAAAATATATAAATAAAATAATAATCACAAATTGAAATGAAAATATGTAACACATACTTTGTCAGGTTGAGGAAGGGTTCCAACACATTGAGATGATCTTGTGTCCCACATTTTTACATTGCCATCCCAACCCCCAGATAAAACTACATTTACTTCATTAGAATACTCAACACAGCGTACCGCGTTATCATGTGACCCTAGGACACTTTCTGAAATTTAATATTAATTAAATGTATGCATTAACTATTTAAATTTAGTAAATATTAGGTACTAAATTAAAAATAAATATTTACCAGAATTACTATTCAAATCATACATTTTCAACTTGTTATCTAGACCACCACTAAATGAATGAACTGCATCCTATTATAAATCAAATACACATAATATCTAAGCATATAAAATAGGTTATCAGTTTTTACATTTTTAAATGCATACAAATTTGTTGAATTTACTGAACATCATTTTTACCATTCAAATGAATAAAAGGCAGGTAATCAATTTAAGCATTATTATTATTTAATTTAGTAATCACTGATTTTACCTGAAAGCTAACATCCAATACTGGCCGATCATGAGTATACTTTGTGCGCATGCTATTCGCCTGGACATCATAAAGCCGAACTGAACAGTCCCAAGATGATACTAATAAAAACTGGGATGAACTAGGTCCAAATTTTACCGACGATATTCCATCTTCCGGTGGATTCTTAAGTCTAAACTCTGATCTTGACTCACCAATCATAGTTAACTAGGTTGGTATAATATAGTATCGTTTGAAATTTACTTAAATCAAAAACACTTATGTGGTAAGTGTTTACAATAGTAACTTAATGGATAATAAAAATATTTATCATTAAAAATGGTTACAAATTGTTTCTGTACTTAAATAATATTTTCCAACTAAATAACAAAAATTATTTTTTATTTATCATTAATCAAATAATCAAGTTATTAGTAATCCACAAATGTTAACGACAATAATAGGTACGTGTACAGTATATTTTAATTCAAATTAAAAAATAATAATAATAAATTATTGGTAGTAAACATTCTAGCTTTAAAATAATAGCTAACCGTCAAAAACTAAGAATTCAGAAACTAACGCTTCTTCAGATGAAAAAATAAACAAATAACAATATCAAGAATGAACGATCAACAAACTATCATTTAAAATTTAAATTATGAGTTTTTGAGGTTATAAAGCCGAATACCATATCAATATAACACTGAGTTCCATACAAAAGCTCTAAACGACATTTGTACAAATGAACCGCAAAAACCAGGTTTTATGCCCTTATTGCCCTTCAAAAGTGTACTTTAAGACCATAGAGGCATAGACTAACTTTAGTATAAAATATAATTTCCGAAATAATGATATCAGTAAAAACTGTATTGCACCACCATTCTTAACTTGTTTAAACGGGTCTACGGGTATATTTTATAAAAATAAATTAGAAAAAAGTAGCTAAAGTGAATTTGTTCCGGGATACGTTATCTATCACCGTCCCCAGTAGTTCCTTATCACCATTCACCACCTATCATAGAATAAAACACAGTTTGTTCACGATAGAAAAACAGAATATTGTAAGGTTTCAGAAGGATGCGGATTAATATGAATCGGAACGGAACGGAACATAACCATCTATATCTATAACTTAATAGTTGATACAAGAGAATGAGATAGTCGATGTATAATAATAATAAAAAATAAACTGTTCTTACGACGTTTGGTGCATTTCGTTAATTTCGTCGTGTTAATTTGACATTTATTAATTAAATTTATAACTTTTGGTTGTTTTTTAACGAAACAAATTTCACTTTATAACTCACACTCGTATATACACTGGCCAGTGGCCACAATGCACTATGTAGTAAATAGTAATTACAGTTGCTCATACTAAGATACATGATTAAAAGCTGATGATGTCCACTAGTGTTACTGTAGTTCCAAGATTAAACATTTACAAAATGCATATTGTGTAGATAATAATAATTTATGAGTTATGATCTAAACTGTTTATAGATTCTAATGTTTTTTATTTCATTTTTATTTTATTACTAGTTAATGTTTTAAATTATTTACCTAGCAAGTTAAGTTCTATTTACGTAAGGTGTATTTTAATAATAATCATGGCTGATTCGGGACAATTTAAAAAGGTAAGATATAATCAATCTTCTGTAATGCTACTAGTTTTGTATTATGTAGGTATCTATTTAATATAATAGAAAAACAAAATGTAATTAAAAATCATTTACCAAGCTTAATAACGATAAATATATTTTAAAAATGCATACATTTACACTTATACTTTTATCAAGAAATTAATAGGTACACAATTTCAACATCATCTAATATTGTTTTAAATATTTTGTATTATGTGTATATAGATGCTACTAAAATTGTTCCCAGATTTGAATTTAGTATACTGAGAGCAAATTACTTAGATTTTTATACAAACTATATTATAAATTTGTGTATGAATAACGAATATAGGAAGGTACTAGATACATAAACTATCTAGAGCAAAGTTATTTGAGTATTTGATTTATTTGATATATATGTAATGGGTAGAGGCCAATAACACAGTAACTTACACGATAAAAAGATGATGAATTTCATTTGACATATAAAACAAGGATAATAATAATATAACTCAGCAAAAACAAATTACTTTGAAATAATGTTAAAATGTATTAGTATAGGTAAGCCCTCCACTCACATTGTTGTTAATAATGTTAGCCGCTGTCTGAAATTTTAATGGATTTCCTACTACAGGCCTGTTCTATACAACATTATTATTATGTCATAACTTATAATTAAAAACATACGAACAAATTACCTACCTATTATTATATTATATTCTTCAGTAAACACTATACAGTTTAAGTATAGTACAATAATTTTATATTAATTGATAATTATTCCTTCAAAATAATTAAAATATAATAGAAAAAGATTTTTATTTTTTGGCGCCAATGAGGGTACATCACATTCAAAGCAAATGTGCTTAATGATAATTATATTAATCTAACTTATAAGGTCATAGACATATTACAATAAATAATGTACAAGATTTAATTTTGTATACAACTAAAATATGTTATTGTTAAATATGTATTAGAATCTTAAGTCTTCATGCCTAAAATTACAGATTGAAAAATGCAAAATATAAATAATAATGCATCTTCAGGGAAGGTATACAATTTTGGATACTTAGTCCAAATTTTTAAATTTTAACCTAACCTAACAAAAGTATTGATATATTAGCGAGACATTTTTTTTTATATAGGTACAATTTTAATTTAAAGCTCGAAGCTTGGGTACAAGCTTAATGATATATTTTAGCTATCATTTGATACAAATTCATAAGTTAACAATTATACAAATATCCAATGAATACATTGGATACATTTCTATATGATAATCCAAAAAAAAATCTAGACTATTATTTGTTTTTGTATAGTTCATAGCAGAACAAAAGCTTAAAGCATTTTCTATTGGAGCGATGGGAAAAACTCAACCTTCAAAAAAAGAATTAAATGAACAAAAAAAGAAGGAAGAAGAACATGCTGCTGCTCAAGTAATTAATACTTTATTTATTTATAATATTGAGATGCACACATTTCAGTTAAAAATAGTCATAATTATATTATAATTTAATACTACAGGCCTTTGAAGAGTTCGTAGCAACTTTTCAAAACGAAGGGAAAAAAAACAGTAAAGTTTGGGTTAAAGCTGGTACATATGATGCTGGAAAGAGACGTAAGATTTTATACACATATAAAACCATAACTGACTGATACTTATTACTTTTATAACACATTAGAGGAGGATACTCGGGAAAAAGGTAAATTATACAAGCCTCAAGCCAGGGGAAATACAGACTCAGATAAAGGTGAAGACCTTTCTCGTTTTATGGGTGAACGTAAAAGTGATAGAATGCTTACAAAGAAAAAAAAAGAAGGTGAAAAGAAAAAAAGTAATCTAGAATTATTCAAAGAAGAACTAAAAATGTAATTATACAACACAACTTTCTAATATTTTTGTATTCATCTTTTAAATAATCATATACATTTTTAACAAACACAATTGATTTATTTGTTTTGAATTATTAGGATTCAAGAAGAAAGAGAAGAAAGACATAAATTCAAAGGAGTTTTACAAAAAACAATTGAAGATCCTGAAATTAAGAGTAGTACATAATATATTTAAATATGTTAAAGATTAAATAATATTTTTAAATTTATGTTTAGATTTAATAATGGTTGAACCTGATGAAATTAAAGGTTCGTTTGATTCAGGGGATCCGAATACTACAAATCTATACTTAGGAAATCTTAACCCTAAAGTAATGTATAAAATATATTTAATTATTAATCTGAATAGATGTTATTATGGTACATTAATTATTTATAGATTACTGAAGCTCAGTTAATGGAAGTTTTTGGAAAATATGGTCCTTTGGCAAGTATTAAAATAATGTGGCCTAGGTCTGATGAAGAAAAAGCAAGAGGACGTAACTGTGGTTTTGTAGCTTATATGAGTCGTAAAGATGGTGAAAGAGCTTTAAAAAATTTAAATGGTATGTTGTTAATTTTGTATTTATCATACATGCATTTTAATATTTTTTATAATTTTTAGGGAAAGATGTTATGTCGTATGAGATGAAAATGGGTTGGGGTAAAAGTGTACCCATACCACCTCATCCAATTTTTATTCCGCCCGCTTTATTAGCTATAACATTGCCTCCTCCTCTTTCTGGATTACCTTTCAATGCTCAGCCTATTTTGCCTCAAAAAGATAAAAAGGTAAAATTTATGTTATATAAGTCGTATATCTTTAACAAAAACCATTTATTTGGAAAAATATATCTACCTTATACTGGGTGAATCACCAAGTATGCTCACTTCCAAATTTTTCCTTTAATACTTAATTTTTGAGTTTTATAAATTTACTTTAGAGACTCTTATTTTTAAGTACTCAAGTTTTTTTTTAATATTACTTTAGATTTGTCCGGTGGGGATACAAATTTCTGTTTTTTAAATTAGGATACCCATTTTTTGTTGTAGATTCTTTATTGGATAATTTTTTTGAAAATGTTGGTGCCCCTAATTCGAAATCCAAACTAGTATATTTGTTTATGAGTATTTCTTAGTTATTCTAATTATATAATAATAAGGATAAGAGTCCTTAAAGGTAAAATAATATTGAATCTAGTATTTGTTATACTTGCACAATTCTTACAAATTATAAATGTTAAATGTTGATAGATTAATATTAATTACTAAAATGTTCAAAATTAAAATTACTATAGCCTCCACGTCTGCCAAAATCCAAACCCATGATCATTGACATATTATCTTAAGGACAAAAAGTTAAATAACTCAAAAACTAAATTGTTTGAATTTTGATATTGATACATCAACATTTTCAGAAGAATTATCCTCTAAATACTCTACAGTAGAAAAAAGGCCGTTCTCGTTAACAAAACAGAAGTTTGTATCACTATAGAACACTCCTTAAGTTTAGCACAAAAGATGTCATGAATTTTAAAATATAGTCCTAAAGTATATTTAAACATTTAAAAAATCATATTTTAATAAACTGTTATTGAAGAAAAAACATAAAAATAATGAGCATGTTTGATGAATCACTTTGTGTATAAATAAAGTTGCAATTAGAATAAAATACTTATTTTTGCACAACTAAATGATTTTTATTGTAGAACCATGGACGAGCCCGACAAGATGCAGGATATTTCGATAGAGGCCAACCAGTTGAAAAGGTATTTAACTTTTTTTATAGATTTTCTTATTTTAATAATGTGATTGACTCGATCCGACTTTCTCAAATACTGTCGTCTTAAACGCAGCTGGCAGGCAAGGGATCTTCGATTTTTAAATTAATTAATTTTAAATGTTGTCGGATCGAGGTATTGTGAATAAAATGTGCCTTTATTGAAAATTGATAATAATCAATATATAAAAAGGTAGAGAAGTGGGTACCGCTCTGCTGTACAGTAAATGTCAAATATGATGTTGTAACGAATGTATTATATTTTAATTCAATGATAAATCATTGCACACAAAAAATGATTCTGAGCGGAGACGTTGTTTCATCCTATCATACTTGTATAAAATATAATCAAATTTTATA